GCAAACACGTATTTATACCGATTTCATCAGGCTCCGAAAATTCTTCAAAAAGAACCCAAAGAATGGCCTTCTCAGCTGCCATAGCTGCAACTCTTGCGTCATCAGAACAGAGTGTTCAACGCACCACCGTTTCCGTTTAAAACACGTTTTGCACCGTTTTGTCGGCGCTGAACGCAGCCCAGACTTCCAGGTTGGCCTAGAAACCGTCGTCATGACTGATCACAAAACTTCTTGGAAACACTGGAATTTCCTTCGGGAAGTGCAAATCTCGGTCATGCAGTGTTGCCAATTTAGCAATTTTGTTGCTAAATTTAGCAACTTTTCAGACTATCCTTGCAACTTTTTCTTCCAAAAGCACCCAGCAACAAATTTAGCAATTTTTAACATTTATTTGGCAACTTTTAGCAACTTTTGATAAGTGACTCAGACAATAAAAAGGCACACATTTTCCATCCAAAATTACACAAAAAGAGGAAAGCAAAGATGCCTAGCAGTACACACATCACGTGAATTGAGTTAGCTGCTATTTGCAATTGTTCAATTTAATAATAATAATAATTGAATAATTGTTCATTTATGATACACTTTGTTAGTAGCTTGTACTTGCGATTGTTGATCAGTTAGTACCCTGTAAGAAAAACAGAAAAGATATTAGTAATTTTCCAGGACATTACCCATTACCCAATATATTACCCATTGTAACCCGAAAACACAATGCGTAATTTAAAATGCAGGTAAAAAACCAATACGGAAAATTCTTTCATATTATCAACATATAGATTGTGCCCTATGTTTACAGACTTTTCTTAGAGTGTAGCATACTAACTAACTACTAATACACTGCTTAAAGCCTAATGGTTGAGAATGTGTAGTATTAGCTAGTTTACTAGCTATTAAAAAAAACTTAAATTGTAATCATTCAAAAATGTGTAGGTGTTCAATAATTCAATGTATTTAAAAATACAGTTATTTATATTTTAATATTATATTATGCATATTATTTTACAAACAAATCTAAGTTAACATAAAATATATATTTTTGCTGAGATTTGATGTTGTGACAATTTTGCATCGTGATTACGCAATGACTTCATCGCACAATGACTTCACAACGTCATTTAGCAACAAATCAACCTTTCTTTAGCAACTTTCTCTGAAAATTAGTTGGCAACACTGCAGCGGCGTCTCAGCGTCAGCCAAAGCGCGAAAACGCAGTTTGAATTTGTCAGTTATGTGACGTCACCGAACGTACTAAATCCCATATGTGGGACCGTACCGCTCAACAGGTTAATAATCAATTAAAAATAAATGTATATCTGTAGGATATCACCACTGATCTGACTCACATAGGATCAGCGGTTTGTTTGTTGGATGGATGGAGGATTACGCTGCAGACACTATCTTCTGGTGAGACAGGGGTGTGTCTCAATCATCTCTCAGTAGTCAGGGCACTGATCAGGGAGTCGGCCATTTTAAGGACCGTCTCAAGCGTGAAATCCTTCCAGAGCACTGGAACGTTCGCTCCCTGAAAAATCCCACAATGCACCGCAACAACTAGAGGGCATTGATGCTCACTATGCTCCCTTACTGGAAAGTACGTCACATTTCTAAAGTGCTGAACATCAACCACACGAGCCAGCGACAGAAGATTTGAAAAGACAACCCGTTTTATTAATTTTTTTTTGTGCATTTCAGCATAATCACACATCGCTAGACAGGAAGTGAACACATCTAGTTAACACTTATCATTAATATTCAGCTGAAATGTTGTAAGGACATGTAACAGAAGAGATTAAAAAATAATTTCAAACAGAAATCGGTCCTGCCTGTTGTTGATTAATTCCAGCGGTGACGTTTTACAATGTTGTACGTACTCATCACTGTCCCAATGTGCAGCGAGCCAGAGTACTTACCAGTGACCGGATTCATGTACACGATACTGATTCACGATGTTAAATTTAGGCGAAAATACCAAAAAACGCCCCGAGCTTAAGTGGTTTTAAACAAATCAATTTTGCTTGCTTGGAACAGCAGCTAAGCTAATTATGTCTCTATTTGTTTCTCTGTTTTTGCTGGGATTGACATCCCGTGGTAACTAGGATTTACACAAGCTTCAGTCTGGATCCAGAACACCTGAGAAGAGATGATGCCAACCCCTCAGAGGACCTCAGATGATGCCAACCCTGAAACAACATACAGAACTACCACATTTTGCTATAAGTTTGATTGCATCATATAATAATTGCTGTTAATAGTGTTCATCGTCTGTTTGATTACGTCTTTAATTGATTTTTCCGTACATTTCTGCCATATGTACATTAACTGACAGTCACCACTGATAAGCTACCACTAAATATTGTAGAAACTTAATTTGCTGTAAAGTTGCTTTGCAATGATTTGTATCGTGAAAAGCGCTGTACAAATAAACTTGACTTGACTTGACTTGACGAGGTCGGGAGCGGATTGAGACGCACCCACGGGAATTCATTCAGCACGACCCTCACAGTGCATTATGGGTATTCTCTAGCTGTTGAGTGTACACCGGTTGTACATTCGTGATTGCGGTGCATTATGGGATTGAACGAGTGCACTCAATAACGTCCACTATAATTTCAGACATCACTAGAAATGGCTGTCTAGGGTGCGATTTCGGACACAGCCCTTGTCTCGCTGCATTACAATGATGGCTAGATGCTTAGCAACCGACGACCAATCGCATGCCTTATATTTAAGTGCTAATGGCCTAATGGTTAGAGAGTTGTAACCCAGGTGACGGGTTTGAGTCTCAGTAGTGGCAGGAAATGTGAATGAACAGTTTACTGAGGTGTCCTTGAGTGTGTGTGTGAGTGTCTGTGTGAGTGTGCGTGTGTGTGTGTGTTCACTAGTCACTGCTGTGAGCACAAAATCTGAGTCTGGGTTACCATACTTGGCCACATGTCACTTTCAAAATTTTACACAGTGTGAGACGTGAATAAAGGTTTAGAATAAAAGTTTAGAATGAAACTATTATTAATTAATTATTTAAGTGAGTAAAATGTAATACTTATGAAAAAAGCCTGCTGGACAGTAACTAGAATAAACCTGTTTTGCACTGCTTAGTGTATGCAGTTAGTTTTCTTGACGGGGCCGGAATTTTCTGCTGACCTTCTGACTAATACTTTTTGTTTGAACTAAAACCTCTTGTCTGTTGAGTTTCACTTCCTCTGATGGACTCAGTGTTGTTGCATTGCAGTGTCCTGCACAGTCTAAAATAACTGATTCTGATGTGGAAGCAACAGAGGGTGTGTCTTTGTACATGTGAATTTAATAAATGTACTTTTTTTACACATTCTCGTTTGGATGAGATGTGAGATGATGAGAAAATTGCTTTGCTCTGGCTCGCTGTTAATGTGTGGTTACATGAGTCTGTTGCATTGTGGTTCACCTGCTCACTACACTGTAAAATCCAATAGTTTACCTTACTTAGATTTAACTAGTTATCTTTATTGGATTTTACAGTGCATATGCAAACTAATGTTATTCTTTCACAGCACCATCAGCGAATGAAGCTTGCTGTTTAACTCAAACAGGAACAAGGACTCTGACAGATCAGGACAAAGAGAGTCTCTTTTATAAGTAAAACTTCCTTATTCCATCTAGTATTTCCCTTCACTTAGACTCCCTGATGAGCTGCCAGTACTTTGGGTCATTTATAGTAACGCACATCTAAATGCTTAACCTTCACTTCCCACATGTTGGTGGATTCAACACTTGCACTCTTACACTGGACGCTAGTGGGAGGTGCAAACAAATTTAGACCAGAAAGCCCCTAAACCTCAAGCACAACTTTCAGGAGGCGCTTCTTAAAGGTCTCGTCACCAAAGCTCTTTGTGTGTTGTTATTTGTGCAGATATCCACAAACTGAGAGACGCAGAGCAGTCGGTGTGAGGAAGTCTGTTGTTGTCTCTTCTGTTTCGCTGTACCTGCTGTCACGGATGCCTCAGTCTGTCGTCTAAACGTCTGGACATGAACATCTTTCAAGAGTCCTGCTGCTCCATTTTAGGAGTTCTCCTGGTTTTCCTTCTGCAAGGTGAGTGACTCGAGAAATACAGCAGTTAAAGTCAAAAGAGGTTTTAACCGACAGGTTGTAAGACGCTTATGTATGAATGGGAAATGAATGTGCATCTAGAAAAATGCTCTTGCTTCCATATATGACATAGTAAATTAAATATGTTAATGTTTAATAAATGCAAAACTAAATATGTTTAATGCAATGCATATGCAAAGCTATTTTATTTCACTGTATTTGTACTTTATGTTTTGAGGGAAATTATCTCGCATGTTTAGGTAATATCAGGGTTTCATCTGTGAGAAAAGGCAGTTTGGCTCAGGAAACCTCAAGCCTTATCTTTAGAGAATGTGGCCAGTTGCAATAGAGCATTTTTATGTTGCAACCAGTATTACAGAGTAAAATCAGGTTAATTGGGACATCTCAGTGGCAAAATGTGTCCCAATTTACCTGAATTCACCATAAATAAATAAATAAACAAACATACGGTTTAATGTTGACTTGTCATTCAGTATTATTTCACCAAAATGGCAAAAACATGCAACACTTGCAAAAAGACATGCAGCTGTTGAAGTGATGTGGTGAAGAGTAAATCCAGGTAAAAATACCTGGATATGAGAAAAGAAAATTAAGGTGTTAAAATGAAAACAGTCACATGAAGAAACAGAGCGCAGTGTGGTGGGTGGAAGTGCTGTTGTGAAACACTTCCTTACAGAGAGCGAATGGGCACAAGTTACCAAATACAGACACAGATGAGTCGCTGTGCAAATTATAAATGCCATTAAAGACCATGTGCATCCAGATTTGGTAGGAATAAAGTTATTCTTCATCCTGATGATGCTGTGGAACCATCCTCTGGAACACAAGAGTGTGTGAAGCAGGGGCGTAGAGCTAGATAGGGTCTCTATAGGGAAATGTCCCTGCCAGCAATCATTTTGTTCAAACGATGAAATATATGTATATGTTTTTGTAATTTCGGATGCATCTGAAATATGTCATATACTGATTATGGAAGGATATACCAGACAATTTTCAAAAGGAATTACAAATTGTATTTTCAATTGCGTTTTCCATATGTGGACGCATTAATTGTGACATAATCCAAACACAATTCTTAATAATAATAATAATACATTTTATTTGTAATGTGCCTTTCTTACACTCAAGGTGCTAATTCTTGCATTACCGTTTGCGTTTTCGCTTTTCGCGAATGTACAGTGACTGCCAAATTTCAAAAAAGCAAAGTCCATTTGCAGCTATTTCCCAAGTCTTATGTGTTATGAGCCTGTCATATTTAAATAGCAATATTAATTACCACATCTGCTTTTTCACTCTCTATGTGTCACGCATGTAACCTGCCAAAACTCAAATGCAAACTCAAAGGGCGTAATTGACATTTGGGGTGAAATGGAGATTATGTGCCATATATATATATATATCTTGATGAGCTCTTTCTACTGCCAAAAGGACACACTGAAAATACTAAGCCAGTTGCTGCACAACTGCACTTACGCCCCTTTGGCATTGGGAAATGTATTGTGGGTAAAGCCTGTGGACAGCACATGTGTCAAAACGAGAGAAATGTGATGGATGTGGGATATGTGACTGCTAATGTCGAGCATAATTTGACGGCCGACGGGGCTGGGGCCAGTGTGAACTCTGTGTCGGACATTGGTGGACTGTACAAAGCAATTGATAGGCTAACTAATGAGGTGAGAGACATGAAAGTCGCCCTTAACCGTTTGGAGGATGAGAATGACAGACTGAAAGAGAGAGTGAGTTGGAGCGGCAGAGATGAGTGGAGTAGAGCGTGCTCTATAGCTGATGTTGCGGCCCAAACACCAGCTGTATTACACAGGGGCCCGAAACCTGATGACACAACCTTATTGGACACAAACACTGACCAGGGGCCTCTGGTATCATATGTGAAAGGCACAATTGAGGGCATCGAGCTTCCTATCCTAATTGACTCTGCTTCTAGTGTATCACTGATGAGCTCTGATTTTCGAATGTCAATCCCTGTACTTCGCAGTCGACCTCTAAAGAAAGACTATATTGCGACTCGTGCTGTAAACGGACAGATGTTGGACATGCCGGGTACACTTACTGTGACACTACAGCTGGGTACCGAGATCTGGCAACATGTTTTTCACATAGTGAGAGAAACAACACAGCCAGTGTTGCTGGGATGGGACTTTTTAATAGAAAAACATGCCCTGCTGAATATTAGTCATGCTAAGTTACAGTTATGGGACATTTCCATTCCACTTCTTACCAACTCAGATTTTGTCCCGACATGCTGCAATGTGTCTCTGGCCACAGACATGACACTTCCGCCCCTCAGTGAGTCAATTGTGCCAGTTAAGATTGGTTTGCCTTGTGCGGCCCAGGTGTCTAATGACTTTATGGGGTATTTGGAACCTAATGTGTCAAAGTCTGCCGGTCTAGTTGTGGCAAACACACTCACTAATGTGCACAACGGACTGACTAAAGCGCGAATTTTGAACCCTACTGGACGGGACATTCCTATAAAACAGGGGACACACCTGGGTGAGTTTTATTCTGTAGCTGATTCTGATATTTCATCCCTTTCAGCTAGGGGTGTAACGATTCACTTGTTTTATCGATGCATCGATTACAAACCCTGACAATGCATAAAATGAGCCTATTTTCAAAAATAGTGGAGTGTTCCTTTAAGACGTGCCAGGCTATCTGCAGCTAAACTGAATAAAAAGCAGAATGAACTGTTAAGACAATAAACACAATAAATAAATACAATTTATGAATGATGCAGTGCTAATTGACATATCATTTATTAC